CGAAGATAATGAATGAATAAATGTATTGCCTGCAATGAAATACAAGTCAAAAAAAATTAAAATATCAGTACGTTCTTTTTTTTATTTGCATTTTCCATACTGTCTTACCTTTTTCTGAGTTGTAAGGTTCAATCCCATATTTCTGTCACAACAATATAAATAAAAAGATACCTTGTTTTGGTTTATTTTGGCACTGTTTGAATATGTTAAACTAGATTACTTTTTACACTGTGAAAGCAATTCAGTCCAATGAATTTTGACCACTTCCTCTTTCAACAGTTTGATCCTGAACATGTAGTTTCTCTTTGGACTGAAATAAATACAACATGCTTTCAACATTAAAGTGAACATTGATCTAGTTCTTTTCCACAGAAAATGCCTGTCAGCAAAAGCTAATCTAGTTTCATTGATTCTATATGCTGATGAAACTCTCTGTGGTCATTAAATGTCCATGGAACTTCTCACTGTTTGAATGTAGGGGTGGCCCTAGTGTCCAGGCCAAATTCTGTCAATTAACTCTTTCTCCAGTCCTCCTTTAGCTGGTATCTGGTGAATGCTCTCTGCTTTACAGATGTCATTGCACCATCCAAAAACATGTTAAGCTGGTGGTGGTCAAGAGAAAACCCATGATATGATTGTAATCATGATACATGATTAGGTGTTAAACAGTAAATATACTACACTTGTTTCACTGAGCAGTATGGTTGGGTATAGTACAGTATGTATTTATTTCTTTCTCCACTGTCCAGTTCCAAGAACCAAAGTACCAAAGTAGTAAAGCAAAACATCAATTTTTAGGTGGCCATTTTGTTAGGGTACCTGGCACAACAGTATGGGTGGAACTAATCTCTCTGCTGAACAAAGAGAATTGTCATTTGCACCCAGCAAGTCGGAGGAATGACAACCCAGCTAGCAAAATTCATGTGGCTCAAATCCGGCCCACACCAGACATTTACATTCGACCCACATACCGCATGGTATGATGGCACTTGGGCAGTCCGATCCTGTTTGCCAGATCTGGGCCACAAATAAGCCATAGCAATATCACATATCAGCCAGAATTAAACCAAATGAACCAGAACTGACCCTATTTTAGGCCACAATTTGCTTTTATTCTGGCCCAGATCTGACCCACACCAGACACTTACATCTGGACCACATACTGAATGGAATGATGGCTCTAGGGCGGTCCACTCCTGTTTTTCAGATCTGGGCCACAAATAAGCCAAAACAATACCACATATTAGCCAGAACCAAATTAACCAGAACTGACTCTATTCTGGGCCACAATTTGTTTTTATTTTGGCCCAGATCTGCCCTACACCGTACACTTGCTAGGTGTGGTAAGTACAAAAATCCCAGCATGCATTGCAGTATGAATACATTATATAGCTTATTGATGCTTCAGTTGTTATTATTTGCTTTTAATTATGCTGTTTATGTTGATGTTTATTGAGTTTGTCATCGTTTTTGAGGTTCATACACTAATAATTGATGTCTCTGTGAGCATAAGCTGAGCCATTGAATTTGTTTAGCTTTTAATCCTTCATAATTCTATCATGTACAAGCATGTTATTATGTTACTTCTATAAATGGATTAAACATTTGTTTAACATCAGTGAATTATGTTATTTCATCACAGGTTGTGCCTCACTTAATTATTATTATTTTATTTTATTTTTTTACTTGGCTTGTTTGCTGTAATGGATAAACTTTTCAAGCAAAGCTTTTAAAATTTACATCAGCCAAAAAGAAAATTTATTTTAAGAAATTCAGGGCTATGAGTTCAACTAAAGCAAACACTTTTCTCTATGATGGTGACTTTAGTCTATGTGGTCTACATATGTTTTATGATAACTGGGCCACAATTGCCATATCTTCTCTGGGCCGCTTTTGGCTCACGGCCACATTAGCCAGAGCTAACTGTTTCAAATATTTACCTAAAGTGGCCCACATTTGTTTTAGGATAATTGTGCCACGTTTGCCATATCTTATCTGGGCCACTATAAGCTCAAATCCACATATACCATAGCTAACTGTGCCGAATAATTGCCAAAAGTGGCCCACATATGTTTTAAAATAACTGGGCCATATTTGCCATATTTTCTCTGGGCCACATTAGTCTAGCAGCCGCAATAGAGAGAGCTTACTGTGCCAAATATTATCCAAAAGTGGCACACATATGTCTTATGATAACTGGACCACATTTGTACTTACACATGTGAGCCACTTTAGGTTTTAGGTTTTTGCCAACTGTGGCTCACATCTGTCCTCCATCATTTGGGCCAAATTTACCATTTTCCACATGGGCCACATTAGGCTCACATTCAAATTACATTTTTGCATAAGTGCCAAATCTTTGTCTTAAATGGCCCATATATGAATTTGAATCTTTGGCCCCCCTTTGCCATTGTACAGATGGGTCACTTCACATTCATTTTGTCTGGGCCGAAGAAATACCACCAGTGCTGCATAACTGCCTAAAGAGGCCCACATTCATATGCTTTCTGGGCAGACAGAAAGAGCCATTTTTTAAACAAAGTCAAAACATGACAGCAGAATAATACAATGATTGCATGCAGTTGCAATAAACCATTTTGTTTTTGGGGCTGTTTACATCTAAATGGGTAGAAAATGCCTTTTCTGTGCACTTGCTACATGTGAAATAATGGACTTGAGTCAATTAGACATGATATAGAGTGGCCCATACAGCTTTCTTTGTTCGTCTATTACTTTCTGTACTATACTACACCCTACTGCTAAATTAGAGCAGTCTGTCTTTCTTCCAACATTTTTGTTGTGTGGTCTAATTTTGCTAAAACAAATAAGGCAGTATCCCTAGCCTGAGACATGGCTAGGCTAAGCTTTATCTCTTCTCTATGACCCAGCTGAGGATAATGTGTTATGAAATTAGGCAGAGAAGCTCTTTTAAAGATCACTATACAGTGTTTCCTCTAGGATTTTTTTCAGCTGTGGCGGCAAACCTTTTTTACACAGATCTACCAACTACCTGTGGTGTTGTGAGTGCAGTATTAGAAATCGAGATCGCATTTATTTATTGCCTACAGCATGCGGATCTCTTTGCTTGCATGCCAATTTCTTCTGCTCGTGCACAAAACTTCTTGCACGCTCCCTCAAATATAACCTGCTTCAAGAGCGTGCAGATCTTCTTGTGCGCTCTCAAATAAACACTGCTAAAGTGTGATTTAGTGCCTTTATGTCTCCAGCATTTATTAGATTTGCTAGGAACATTTATGAATGTCTCTAATAGCCCTACAGAGCCATATTAATGCATCCTGAAGTAAAGTAAAACGGCTATGTGTCGTGTTTGTTGGCCTCACGCATCATGCACCTGTCAGTCAGAAAGTCAGCACTTAAGGGTTAAACAAATGACGCACAACATAACTACGGTTACAGAACAGTTTGCTCTGTTATAATTCACTTAACTTTTAGTACGTTTTGGTGCGATTACTACCCGCTATTAGAAAAATAAAATGTTTTGATTGAGATCTGTAATGTAGCCGTGGCGGGATGAATTTTGGAGTGGTACCCCGCCATGAAAGAATGAATGTAGCGGAAACCACATTGACATTATATCTATATGATCATATATATCTATGTAAATGTCACTAATGAAAGCCAAAACACTGAAGAGCAACACTAACAAAGCTCCAAGCCCCAAACCAAGCAACCCAGTGGTTACTTCACCAGTTGATGAAATTTCGACCTCAAGAAAAAAAAAGAAAACACGCTTACCTGGGCACAACCAGTTCTTCTCTGGACAAACATTCTGTGCAGAGCTGCAGTCTATGGTCCCCAGTGTTAGATTTTGCTATATTTGGCTTAACCATTCTTGGGTGGCTCACCAATGTATTAGATGATTCTAATACATAGAATAAGTAAGCTGAAGAGAATGAATAGTACAGTTCCACAGTACAGTTACAGTCTACGAGTAACTTAACCCAAGGTACTGTCTATGAGACAGTACTTTATACTAACTTCAAACAAACCATTGTTCATTTATAAAGCTCAGTAGGACCCTCGTATTAGTTGTTTCAGCTGTCGTTTGGCTTATACCCATTGAGGTTACCACCAATATACACAAAACTGATCACATAAGAGTTCATTCAATTTAAATGCAATTGAATTAACATGCACATAATCTTTTAATCTACAGTCCGCTAAATAATATCCACATGACAAGTCTGCATGAAACTGATGTTTCTGATATTCATTTCAGTGTGGCAATGTGCTTCCAGCTGAAACTAAATATTGAGGAGGGTTGGGGCTTTCATTTGTGCATAATTCTTTCATAGCAAACTAACAGTAAGAGGGGTTTTGGTTAAGTTTATTGATATAGGGTACAGTTGCTATGAAAGCCCCCAGGTTGATGTCAACAGAAGCACTGCCACTCCAAATGGAGAAGCAAATGATCAGATTTTGAATAGAGACTATGAAAACATACATTTTCTTTTAGTGGATTAACTTGCACGGATTGATTAATCACTTTAGGAATAGTAACACAGACTTCAACAATTTTAGAATACAGAGATTAGCTGGTCTTTCGCAGCTGCCTGAACACATTTGTCTCCGTATGGAATAAGTGCCTAAGAGGTTGAATGCAATTGAATATGTATTTAAAACCCATATACACCTGCATTTAGTGATGTCCGCTTGTTATCAGATAGGAAAATGCATCTTTATAAGAGGTGTAAACATGGCTTGAAGTATTATGTTAGTAGTAATTAGTCAATTAGCAATTTTAGTAGATACTAGTATTTTTTTTTTTTTACAAAGACCTAATGTGTAAAATAACATTACTTGTTTCAGAAGTGAAATAAATGTTGTCACAGCATTCATAAGTAATTATATAATCAAGTTCTTCAACTTTACTGTATTTGAAACACATCATCTAAAGCCGTACATTGCTCCACCAGTCCGTCAAGTTACAAACACATACAATAACACTCAATAGAAGTGCTAGTGCACATAGTGGCAGCACCTGTGCTCTCTGTTTGCACTGAAAGAGGGTGAGAGACTGACATGAGGGCCTCTGGGCCGGTGGTACAAAACCAGGACCAGTCCCAAGATACAAATCAGCCCCCAGATTGAGTTTTGGAGTCAGGGGAGAGGTGTTGTGTGATAGGCTGAATGTAATTTATTCTCTTTGAGTCTATGCACTGATTGAAAGACACGCCAAAGCATAGCGATCTATTTAAGAATGTTTCGTGGTGTATATTTTATTAAACTTCAATTTGGAAGAGGTTGGTTTTGGCAATATTACTTTAAAGCATTTTCTGATTCCAAATTTAACAGGTGAGGTCAACAAATGCAATAAAAGACTTTCTTACTTTCTTTCTTTCTTTTTGTAGATAAACTGCAGTATTTACCTTTCCAATTACAGCAATTAACCTGTATCATTTAAAACAAGCCTAAGTAAAACTAGCAGTAAGTTCGAAAAAAAGCTCTCACTTTTTCTACACTTTTTTCTAAGAAAACACCGACCAAAACAGTTTTGATCCTGTGAGGACATGTGAATCTAGAAAACACAGTCTAATTCACCATCAGGGACCGAGTCCAGAAAGCATCTCAAAAAAAGACCCTGCCTCCTATCAACAATTGTAATTCCTCCTGGCAACGGGATGTTTATAAAAGTGTCTCCATATTCTGACCCGCATCTTTACGGCTATAATCTTCTATCTGGTAAGAAGCATGCTTTTCCTTGTTATTTCAGTGTTTATGTTATACATATTAGTAGTGTTAAGTATATTTCCTACAATGCATTTATTCTGTTCGTACCACTGGCTTTTTACATGTAATGAATGGTTTTGATAAATAATTTTTAATGTAACAATGTAAAGTTATAAGGTTAGGTTTGTAAGAAGATTTTTGCACAGTTTTAAAAGTTTTAAATGATAGGACTTTCAAAATAAATGATCAATATTCTAAAACTTTAGCCAGACAATGGCAAAAAAATAACAATTAAATGGTTGTTAATGGTTGATCAAACCAGAATCATCAGTGATTTAGTAATTTTGCAGAAATTCATACAAAACGTCTTTTTGATCAACTTTTGATAGGGTCAATGCTGAGTCAATGTAAATATTAGATAATTGGCATAATATTTTATGGCACAGCAATATCCTTTATTTATGGAAATGGTGGGCTTGGTGTACAATCAGTCACACATTAAAAGACTAGTCAATAAACTTTTTGGTACAATAAATACATATGTACAATATGTTACAATGTCCAGGATAAACATATTTGGATTAGCATGTTTTATTTGATTTGAAACTTGAATAAACAAGCATGTATCACGTTCTTTGGCTTCAGCAGAATTAAAATGTATGGGTGAAGAGGTAAGTATAAAGGTCTTTAAAAATATGTAAACATTTTAATGTTTAATCTTTAAAGCTTAAACCATTTTTTTTCTCTCTCCAAAAATGTCTTAAACTGGGCACAACACAGTATCAGAAATAAATGTACAACAGCTGTCAATGACACTTAATGAACTCTTTCAGGGTTCTTACGTTTTCAGTACTAATATGAAAGTAATCTAATTAAAGCTCAACATTTACCATTAAGGTACTAATACAGTATATAACTTTATGGTAACAATATGGATTCTTTAAGCACTAACAAGTACCCTTCAAGTAAAAAAGTTTACCTTTTTAAAAAGGTACTTTCCCAGTGACCGCTTTAATATGTTTATTTCTAATTGTACAGTTAAAGTCAGAATTATTAGCCCCCTTTTGAATTTTTTTCTTTTTTAAATATTTCCCAAATGATGTTTCACAGAGCAAGGAAATTTTCACAGTATGTCTGATAATATTTTTTCTTCTGAAGAAAGTCTTATTTGTTGTATTTTGGTTAGAATAAATGCAGATATACATATTTTTAAACACCATTTTAAGGACAAAATGATTAGCCCATTTAAGCTATTTTTTTTTCGATAGTCTACAAAACAAACCATCATTATACAATTACCCTAACCTGCCTAGTTAACCTAATTAACCTAGTTAGGCCTTTAAATGTCACTTATGTTCACTTTTTATGTCGCAAATGTCACTTTTCAGCTGTATAGAAGTGTTTTGAAAATTATCTAGTAAAGTTAATTTACTGTCATCATGGCAAAGATAAAATAAATCAGTTATTAGAAATGAATTATTAAAATAATAAGGTTTAGAAATGTGTTGTTTAACTCCGTTAAACAGAAATTGGGGAAAAAATTAACGGGGGCTAATAATTAAAGGGGGTTAATAATTCTGACTTCAGTATATAATCTTAAGTAAAGAGCACACATTCTCACCATCTATGCTTGCAAAACTGGTGTCATGTTAATCCAAAGTGGTTGGAGTTTTGTGGTTTTTTACCATACTGGAAAAAGAAAATTGTTCCACACGTCTTAAGCAATTGCTTTTTAATGATACATGAAGACAAACCTATTTGATGCAATTATTAGAACAGAATGTAAACGGTGAGTTTTGTTTCCATACTTCATAATGAGAATTACACTGACTCAGAGCAGCATTTTCCAACTCTAGTTCGTCATACTCCAACAAACTATTTAAATGTCTTCCTTATTTAATATAATCAATTCATGTTGTGAGTATTTACTAATGAACAAGTTAATTTAGTTGTGTTTAAATTAGAGAGATGAATAACATTTTTATGGGTTGGTATTAACTGATTTACATTGTGTAAATAGTTCAAAACAGTCTTGTCAAACACTTGACAAAATCAAGTTTCCATTGTTCACTTCTAGCTGGTTAAAGTCCCCAGTGCTTAAGGAGAAAAACACAATTGATTAACAGTGTCAATCCCTAGGAGCATCCTTATAGTTTAGCAGCCAGCCACTGGAGAGAGTCTAGCCTAAAGGCTAAGGGTCACAAGGGTCCCCCTGATGCCCCAGTGGACCAGTGCTTCAAAGAAAAGCCTGACAGGGCCACATAAGCATAATGTCCCTTCAGACTAGGCAGGGTGGTGCTTCCTATAAGTACTGCTATAAAGGAGACAAATGAGTCACAGAATCTTCTCACTCCTTCACAAATCATATTTCATACTACATGTATCCAATAACTCTCCAGATTTGTCAATTAAGTTTTGCAGTTTATTATATAGATTTGGTGCAGTGCCCCCGAAAACACCCATTTCAGGTCTTGGAGTCTATACTATTCATTCAATTATTTATTTTCGGCTTTGTCCATTTATTAATCAGGGGTTGCCACAGCGGAATGTACCGCCAACTTATCCAGCAGCATATGGTTTACGCAGCAGATGCCCTTCTACCTGCAGCCCATCACAGGGAAACACCCATTCACCCTCATTCACACACATACACTACAGCCAATTTAGCTTACCCAATTCACCTATAGCTTGTTTGGACTGTAGGGGAAACATAGGGGGAACATGCAGACTCCACCAGAAATGCCTACTGACCCAGCCGAGGCTCAAACCAGCGACCTTCTTGCTGTGAGGCAGCAGCGCTACCCACTGTGACACCGCACCATAGAGTCTATACTAATGAGCTGACAATTTCAATCAGCAATTTAGAGTAGGTTGTCCAGTACTACTGTGGGAAGTCCCTGTCAGATTTATTTCCAACCCTAATAAAACACATCTGAACTACCTTACCAAGGGTTCTAGGACAAGAAACATCCCAATAGTCCAATATCGAAGTAGTTAGAGCAAAATTTTGGAGCAAGACTGAACAGTCCTGGGTTACTGAGTCATACAAATGTACCTTGATTGGAGTTCTCCAGAAGCATTTGGAGGAATTATGTGTTAATCACAATGTACTGTTTGTACAATGTACAAGTGCTGCTGCTGTACAGAGCCATGTCTGACCTAATATCTACAAACAGAAGAAATAGTGGGTCACATGTTTATCTCATATTGGCCCCAGTGGGATTTTCTCTCGGCTGCTGTTTCTGCACATATGTGTTTTTGTGTACTCTGTGTACTTGTGTTTGTGCAGTGCCTCTGCTCCTGTGGGATTGTGCACGGGGATAGCAGGCAAATAACCCAAGGGAGTAACACTGTTTGTCAAAGCTATCACCAAAATCAAATTACAAAATTTGAAATGTCCAACAAATTAACCGTAAAACTGAATCTAGCAAGAAGCCTTAATCCAAATGACCACTCAAGAAAGTGTACACTAGCAGCCAAGCTTCTGCAAGGCTACCTTCCTGCTCCAACACACCTTCCTACATTTTTCAGGTTATCATGAACATTTTATAGGTTTTATGTGTGTTTGATAAGTATTGGGCTCAAACTTCAGCATGGTATTCCTCTAGGGAATTAGCTTCTAATACTTTTAGCAGAGTTCCATGTGTAGAAATTCCATGTGGTTCTTACAATTGTAGATTGTAGATTTTCAGACTTTGATCAATTAACTGTAGTATTTGTTATTTTCACTTCTTCCAGAATCCCATTCATTGGCATCAGCTTGTCAGAACTCATGGAGAGCCGACTACGCCATGACAGAAGATTCAACTTCATACTACGAAGCAGCATGTCCTCTTCTAATTTGACAACCAATTCAGTCAACACAACCCACACTGTCAGTGTGTTTGAAGGATGTGAAGAGATGGTGAGTGGCATCATTTTTGACCTGACCATGCAATCTTTCAATGTGATAATAGGAATACCTGCCAACATCCTGGTCATTGCGAACCTAATAAACACCCGCAATGAGCCTTTAACTTCTGACATCTTTCTTGGCTGCCTGGCTTTTATGGATGCCTACTTTGGATTCATGACGATCATTTCATTCTTCAATCTCTACCTCTGGCAGAGTGCCATGGCTTGGCTGGCTATAAAATTCTCTTATGGCGTGAAGGACACCAGCGGGCCGCTCTTCCTCTCCTGTGTCTGTTTGGATCGATTTATAGCCGTTCTCTTCCCCATCGCATTTGGACAGCTGAAGGACATCAAATACAGGATCTGTCTCACCATAGCAATCCTGCTGCTGACTTTTGCTTACTCTTCAGCCAAAACAATTGGTGGCATCCACAATTTCGAGAAAGTTTTCACTGGTGAGGTCCTGTTTGCGTTCACCTGGATGGTGGCGTGTAACGTGGCCATCATGATAGCCCTGAAACGCTCAAGAGGCTCTGGTAAAGATGAGATGCATCCAATGAAAAGAAAAGCTTTTAAGATGGTGCTATCGATCTTGATCATCATAGTGAGCAATTATCTCCCTCCGGTTGCTCTGTTCCCCTTTGAAGATCATTTTCCACGTATGGTCTTCACCTGCCATGTGCAGCCAGTATGTTTTGCCTTTCTAAACATCAGCAGCACTATCCAGCCCTTAACTTACTTGTCCCGCCTAGAGAAAGTACCATTCCTGCCTCAAACATGTGTGGAGAAGTTAAGCTGCAAGAAAGAAGACAAACCCTCAAAGGAATGATTGTTGTCTGAAATGAAGTCTGAAATATGTTATTAGATCAATTTTAACACAGTAGTCTACTCTGAGATTATTGAGCTGCATATGATATATTTGTATATAATATAATAGAATCTATTACGAATTGATCTTGAATGTTTGTAGCAACAAAGATATTGTACTGGGCTTTATTTCACTTGTCTTTGATTCTTTTCAACATAGTTCATTGCATCAAACAATTCCCTTTGTAGTTAGAAAATGTTCTGAGCTCCTGTTCGTACAACCTTTCACCATTCCCTACACCACAAGCAGCTGATTCAGATGTGTTTGGTTGGGAAAAGGTCTGAACTTTGTTGGACAGGAGCTCACCAGGAGCAAATTTGAAGACCCTTGTCGCCATGAAGTCTCTATGAAATTTCTATATATCTCTTCCTATTGTTATATTTATACAGTAGTGCTTATTATAAATGATGTATGTATGCACTTCATTATTTTGTAAAAAAAAACAACAACTTAAACTTGAAATCTTTTACCAAAAACTATAACCTTCCCTCTTCCTCAAAATTACTTTGCTTCACTTGTGGTTACATGAAATGCCTTTAAGCAGGGCTATCAGGACATGTCTTATTTCTGCCCTGCTTTCATCCAATTGTCAATCTACATTCATTTGTAAGCAAGGCCAATCTTCCATTGATCAAATCAGTTCCCAATGGATAAAATTATGCATATTTTTTGCATCAGGACCATACAAATACATCATGTTATGGGAAAAAAGGACAACCTTAACTTGCATTTCATGGCGACACTTTGGTAAAGAGCAAAAATAAAGAAAGTTTTCTGATACGGAAGTTGTTTTTCAACCTCTTTATAGTTGATCCCAGAAATAAACGAGTTCACATAAGCTGTGTTCAACAATTTTTATTTGTTATCCTCAAACATATCTTGCAGTACATTTAATAAACTATTACATGATCCCATGGTGTGATGTTGGTTCTTACACATAACAAATACTGCTACTAAGTTTGTGCTGGTTTCAAGAGTTATCACTGGACTAAAGAGTGTTTTCACTTTCCTCATAAGTTATTCAGTAGCCCGTATGCAATGTCATTACGGAGATGGATGTTAACAGCATGGACTGACAACATGGCAGACTAATGACACATCATGAAAATTCTTTCAAGAGTTCAAACTTAGCTGATGATTGATTTTAAAGTGTGTTTGGCATGCTGTCCCGGGAGAGAGCCATGAGCTCATAAAATCCTTAAGCCCGGGACTCCCTCCTGATAGAGATAACTAGTTACTAGGAGCACTTCTATGGTGCCGATTTGGATTAGTCAATTAACTTAAGTCGCATATATGGGGATGGTGGAAGGAAACCGGGGACCCGGGGGAAACCCACACAAGCACAGGGAGAACTTGTAAACTCTGCACAGAAGTGTTGACTGGCTTGGTTAGGACTACAACCAGTGACGTTCTTGCTGTGAGGCAACAGTGCTAATCACTGGTCTGCCGTGCCACCAATCTAGGAAAGGAGGAAGGGTAGGGTTGGAAGGGGGGATTCTTCAAAATGAAGATGACTGTGGTATAGAACTTGGTGACTAAGGAATCGTCTGATTGGTGAATCATGAATTTCGATCACGTTCAACTGAATCTGTATTATGCAAAGTAGCCAGTATCTTCAGTAACTTATTGCCCTGATTTAGTGGATGCATTGCAGTAAAAAATTGCTAGATCTTCTCATATCCAGCAAGAACAAGTGCCAAAAATACTTGGTGGAAAACCAGGGCCAACTGTAAACTATAAGTGAAGTTTATTTATAAACTAGTTTTGAGAGGATCACATGCTTATGATTGATCACGGCTGGTCCCGCATTAGCCAATTCAGAAATGGATCACATATCGTTGAGGGATGTCCAAGACAGAGAGGGATGCATCTATGATCCCTTAAAAATTTGGTCTGCTTTCGAAAGACTGCTGGACTCCAAAGCATCAATCTAAATCCTAACCGACCTCTACTTTCTATCTGCTGAGAAAACGTAATTTGACCAAATTTCATTGATAATAGGGGATCATAGATCTTTCTGTATACAAGCTCACATCATTCATCCAATCACTGACGCTCTCACTCTAATTATGCAAACAAAATACATTAACCTCAGGGGTCTATGAAATTATAGTCATAAAAAATATGAATATTTAATATTAATTGTAAACAATCTAAAACATTAAGCCATAAAACCCAGGATTCTTGAGGTTAAAAATAACCCAAGGCTAGTTTACTCTTTTAAGTAGGAAAACCCTTATGTAATACAAGTGTACAGAGTAAATAATAATAGATAATCTGATATCAAAAAAGCTTGAATGAACATAAATCACTTTAACCCAGGGGTCCCCAAACTTGGTTCTGGAGGGCCAGTGTCCTGCAGAGTTTAGCTCCAACTTGCTTCAACACACCTGCCACAAGGTTTTAAGTATATCTAGTAAAAGCTTGATTAGCTGGTTCAGGTGTGTTTGATTAGGGTTGGAGCTAAACTCTCCAGGACACCGGCCCTTCAAGCCGAGTTTAGACACCCCTGCTTTAAGCAATGATTATCTTTTTCACAGTTTGCCTTTAGAACAGTGGTGTCCATTATGGTGATGATCTGCATTTGCGTTTCAAATGGACTATATTTAGAAATTTAGAAAAGGCTGCCTTCAAAAGACTACTAGATTCCAATGCATCAAGGGCAGGGCACATATGAATCCAAACAAAGCTTCACTTTCCATCTGTTAACAAAACTTAATCTGACTTAACCTTTGCTGTCTTGGACATCCTACAGTGATGTGTGTTCCATTTCTGATGAGCTAAATAGTAAAGATGGCATGTTGAAGGTTGGCTTGGGAGTAATTTTGTGTTTGAATAATTTTGACCAATATTTTCCAATTTTGATGGCATTTCTACTTAAAAGTTAGTAATGTAGTGAGCAAATGTTCGCATTAGATAATACCAAAATGTTCTCTATTTTGTTGTACCTGCTGTTATGCTCTCTCAGAAGTTTCAAATCAGTTTTATTATGAGACTCCAAGTAACTGCCTGATGGGGCAGCAGGGCAATAATTCATCTTTATAAGTTTTTGGACGTAGCCAAATAAAATGTGCTAGAGGGTTAGAAGAACCTGAGTTGGGAACCACTATTCTAGATAAATATAATTTCCCTCCAGTATTTTAATTGACATCTTAATTTATAGAAAGCAACACAGGCTTGGATAGGACTCGCAGAGGATGTTTGCTTTGTGTGTAGAAATACGGCAGTAGCTTTTCTGTAAAGGCATGTTTAAAAGTGTAAATAACTTCTTGGTATGATGGGTTTAAGAAAACCACCTCCCCTTTGTCCCAGTTCAGCTGAATCAAGACCCTCTGCAGTTTTTTCTCTACTTGTAGAGCAGTTGGAGGTGATGACATCGCCCTGTATTGCTCATCACGAAAACAGATGGTCCAGAAACCATTCTCTGGTCTTGCAGGAACTTCCTGATCTCTCTTCACACTCTCACTGGCCAAGCCCAGGATCCAGTCCTCATTGTCCCCTACTTCAATTTCCCAGTTGTGGCTGGATGAGTTAAAAGCCGTACAGCCCAGCACCTCTGCGCTGATATGGAAACGCTCAGGGTTACTAGGAAGACCTTGGTTTGGGGTGCTGTAGTGGAGACTGGTCAAGTCATCTGATAGTGTCAAGCATGGGTGAGCTGAGTTTGGGTCTAGAATTAGTGGGCCTGATGAAAAAAAAGACAATACATTGCAAAAATTTACAAGACATTACAGTGTTGTTATTGATGTTTCAATCCATTCTAATCTCAAAAGAAGATGCAACTGTTTTTGTGTTTGAACTGTTCAAACTGTAAACTGTTCAAAGACATTCAAACTCCTGGAAGGTATTCCAGAAAGCTGGGTTATTTTACCATCTGCTTAACCCTAAACTCTCGGTTGATTAACCCAAAACCTGCTTACCCTGAGTGTGTCGGTTCCACAACAGCTGATAAGGGTTAGTTAAGTCAACCTCCTTAAGATATTCATTCATTCATTTTCTTGTCAGCTTAGTCCCTATTAATCCGGGGTTGCCACAGCAGAATGAACCACCAACTTATCCAACAAGTTTTTACGCAGCGGATGCCCTTCCAGCCACAACCCATCTCTGGGAAACATCCACAAACACATTCACACACACTACGGACAATTTAGCTTACCCAATTCACCTGTACCGCATGTCTTTGGACTGTGGGTTAAATCGGAGCACCCGGAGGAAACCCACGCGAAGGCAGGGAGAACATGCAAACTCCTCACAGAAACACCAACTGAGCCGAGGTTCGAACCAGCGACCTTCTTACTGTGAGGCGACAGCACTACCTACTGCGCCACTGCCTCACCCCTCCTGAAGATAGCCATGGGTTAATGTGAGCGCATGGTGCATACATAAAGACATTTTCTGTAGATCGCCAAATTCACGAGTCACCATAGAACGTCATGGTTAGAAAAAAGGGCAACGCACTTTACAGAGGCGGAGCTGGAGGTTTTAATACTGGCATATGAGGAATTATGGTCGATTATAAAGAAAAATCAATACATATCTGCATCAACAAAGGAAATAAATATAAGATAAATAAATAGATAAGAAAATAAATAATAATACAAAATAATAAGAGAAAATTCATTAAAAATTCATTAAATTACACATTCCACCCTCCCTTTAATTGCAATAAAAAATTTAAATGTAGCTTTAACATCCTTTTTGAGTATGTTGTGTAACCATTCATGCATTTAATTTCCCTGCCATTAATTTCTTAATGCCACAATAATAATGTGTATTGACTAGTAAGGCTTATATAATTATGTTACACTTATGTAATCCTTCTGGAGCTAAAAGATCTATGTTCAAAGTCAAAATTAAACAAAGAAATATTCTCTTAAAAGGTAAGATTTCATTACTGGAGCTGTGTTAAACACTTTAGAATATTCTTTCTGTCATGTAGCTAATAGAAAGGAGGCTGATGCCTGTTTAACTGCTGTGGGCCACAAAATAATATCTAATAATTAATAAAGGCTAATCAGTAGTTGAATTATTTGACCTTAAACCACAGAGAGAGAGAGAGAGAGAGAGAGAGAGAGAGAGAGAAAGGAAGAGAAATAAAAAAATTCGAACTTGCTCTGCTGTGAGCTCTGTTGTTTTTTAATGGTACACTGACCACTACGCTATTGCCAGGCTCTGAAATGATTGAGTAATGATATGCAGAGCTTTATGGCCAAGGAACTGTACTTAAGTGTATAAAACAGTTCAGTGCCAGGCATAAAATACAGATAGTTATACACATTATTGCCACATTGTACAGTAAAATACCTTCACGCAAAAACAAGTAGCTGCACTCAACGTTTTCTATGGTAAGCGCAGACCTGCAGTAACGTTTGATTTCAAAAGGTTTGTTAAATACATTAACGATTCTTTTGAAATACAACAACGCTTAATCAAATATCCATTTGGATATGAAAAAAACCTATGTACTTTTAACCCTCTCAAGATGAAAAAACTCATACATCTGTGTTTCAACGTCCATCAAAATTCTCAAAAAGAGCATGCAAAGCTCAGTAAATTCTCTGAAACAGACAAACTCTGGAACATAATCTGCTCCAGAGCAGGTGATCTTCAGACAGTATGTTGCTATGGCTATTTACTGTAACATACTCCAAAAGTTACCTCTGTTTTTGGAACCAAAGCTGAGGTTATCCACCTACTTACTCTTAAACGGCCATGACACCCCCCATTTTCGGTTAAAGTCTACTTCAGAATTTTTTCAAAAGATGCATGATTAATGGGCGTGGAGCTCCGCGAGCAAAGGGCAGGAGTGGGCGTAGCCAGCAGGGGAGAAGGGGAGCGAACAACTGTTGATGTCAGTTAGCTTACAAATTGTGACAAACCGTGAGGAGACGCATGAGTTTATAGTTCACAAAGTTAAAATGCAAAGAAATAAACAGTAATTTAATGCCCTGCTACATTTGTTATTTGTAATTTCATATACAGACAACCACAATTTATATCATCCTCAACCCTCAATCCCCAGGTCTGAATCATAGATCTAAATGCAGACTCAGAGCAGCAGGTCTCCTGACCTGTCTATTTAAACCATTAGTCCTGCTGGTAATCTGGAGGATTTAGGCAAACACAGCAGCACGGCGATGTGTCTGAATGTGAATGAACTCCTGATACAAGACAACATCCGCCATTCTCCAATTCTCGTGCTGCTCTCCCGACAAAAATGCTTGCATCACACACACAGCTTTGCTGTATGATCGGCCCTGACAGGATCGCGGGGAAAAACATGCAACAAATCCCGTGGATCATGGAAACAAACATATACGAGCCTTCATAAACGGCTACTGCGTGCCCGTGGGTCCGTGTCTCAGGTTGAACTAGGCATTGGTCTGGCAGGTCTGCGTCTGCCTTGCCTTCAGAAAGCACGTGCTGTCATGCTCTCATGAATAATTAAGCAGCCGGCTCTTCTCATAGGATAAGGAAACTCCTCTTTGAATAATAATGAGAAACCGACGCGTCATCATTGCACTTGCGGTACTTCGCTACGTCGCCAATTTTGATCCCTCCCCAAAAATCATTTTAAACCCGGAAGCTGAAATTAGCTGACAAAAGCTCAAAATTATCCAGTTTTCCCCACAATTAAAGCTGATGGGTGCTAACATTGTCTTAACTGATGCTCAACACACACAAATCTGTTAATATATATTAAAAAAAAGTTCTCCAGGGTGTCCTAAACCCTTTAAACCGGGGTATGTCACATAACCTGCTTTCTGGAAAACCCTCTTAATGTCTCTCAGCATGAGGTAAGTTAGTCAATAAACAACACTAAAGATTTATAGTCAATATTTTACAAACACACAGATACAGCTGCCAAAGAAAAACTGACCTTAAAATACTAAATGTGAAAAGCCCAACTGAAGCAGACACTGATCACAATGACAACTTAAACTGTGTAAACCTCTAAACCAGTGGTCACCAACCCTGTTCCTGGAGAACTACAGTACCTTCCTTCTGTTTGTACCCTGATCAAACAAATCTGTTTGTAATTATTAAATGCTGCTTCAGACCGAAATAATTGGTTTAAGTATGTTTGATCATGGCTGAAGCTGAACTCTGCAGGAAGGTATACTCTCCAGGAATAGGGTTGTTGACCCGTTCTCTAAACTTTTGTTAATTCTCAATAATGCACTCTGTTATCCTACAAAAATATTAGTAGGTGAAGTTGTTGTTGGTGCTGTTTGTTGAGTTGTTTAACAACTCCTCTGTTGTGGCTAAAGAAGTTATCTTTCTCTTGTCAACGGCAAGTATTCATCATGAAAGCTCAATTATGGCTGATGAAGTCTTGAGGCTAATTTCTGCATCTGCATAGAGTGAGTGAGGTACGTCCATCATAGCCTTTTGCAAGTTGCATACACTTCGGCATATCTTGAAACAAATCTATCAAAAAATTTAACTACACATTGTGTTGACGTGGAGCACTAGATTGTTATTGGTCGACTTGGTTGTGGTGACAAGTGTGGGCAGGGATGAGAGCCATGAAAGAACAAGTCTCACGTCAAAGAAGGCAGAGTACCAGTACACACCTACCAATTGTGCAATGGGATATATGCACATAGACTTTTAATTTCAGTCAGCCAGCCCTAGGGCTTTTTGCTAATTGTCATCCAATACAAAACCTTTATGTTTAAGATCTGATTTCTTTAAAACTGCCTGGCTGAGATACAATATAAAGTCGGTGTCATCAGACCAAACAAGAAGCACTACATAACATATATTTCTCCACATCATGTCTTTAAAACATAGAAATTAATTTTACCCCTAGTATTTTCAATGGATTTTTTGCGCTAGCCTGCTGCTAATGACGGTGCATGGTTTTAAACAGTCTTTCGTCTCTTTTTAGACTTGAACAGCTAAAAGAATACTTAGGTCAATTTAACTGAATGTATTGTAATTACATAACATGATGCTGTAAAACAGGGGTGCCTAAAGTCGGTCCTGGAGGGCCGGTGTCCTGCTGACTTTAGCTCCAACTTGCTTCAACACACCTGGAGGAGCTTGATTAGCTAGTTCAGGTATGTTCGTTTAGGGTTGGAGCTAAACTCTCCAGGACACCGGCCCTCCAGGATGAGTGTGGGCACCCCTGCTGTAAAGGAAACCTTATGAAATTGAAAATAGTCACGTAAAGCTTTCCCCAGAAGTTCATCATTGGCTAAAAAGTGTACATAGCCCATTGACATGGATTAACGGTAGCTCAAAAGAGTTTAGGGGTTAAAATGAACTCCCTTAAAAAATTATTTTTGGTGAGCTGTTTGTAACTACCAAATTGAACTTTGGCCGCACTTGGTTTGAAGTACTCTGGGGCCGTAATACTAAAGATTTTTTTATGTATGGTATATACGGTTATCTCAGATGTTAAAGTTTAAGCTACTGTTATCAGCATCCTACATAAGATTAAAAATTAAGCTAGAAAAGCTAAGCCAAAAAAAAAAAAACAAGCTAGTAGGAACTTACTGTAAGGAGCAATTGTCTGCATCTTCTCCCAGACCTTGTACTTCAGATTCCCAAGATATTTTGATTCATCCACCAAACATCCTGACATGCGTTCTGGATCTTGCAATGTGCTCCATGTTCTACAAAAACAGATAATTGTGTATTTTTTATAATTACAATAAGTATTACTATTATTTTCAGAGTGCTGATTTGCCAACATATAACCAAACTATTTTTAATCATGCGAAAGAAAGAAAGAAATATGGCACAATGTGAAGATCTAAACGTAAAGTGATGTTCTTCATTCATTTCACAACCCTGACTGTTTAGTTTAATACACCAGGGTATTTTTTTTTTTTTTTTGCACCCTTGTCTTAAATCTGGGTTTAGAACCTGATGGATTCGAATTTCTAGCCCTTATCCCTTCCCCTTACCCCAGTTCTCTTAAGCTTGAAGACGTAGGGCTAAAAGGAACGGCTAGGTACCCCTTAAAATGGAGATTTTTCAGGACCAAATTCATAAAGGGCTAAGAAAATTTTCCAGACTACATCAGCTACAACTGCAGCATGGCTGCACCCAGAAGTCATGATGAGATGTACAAATTAGCATTTCTTGTCATTTTTACAAACTTGTCATCAAGGCAAACAAGCATTTATTTTAATACATTCATAACCATGATCGTGTTTTACCGTCATGCTTTTTTAAAACCTGCTAAAGTAAAAACCACTACATTTGGCTATATATATATAATCCCTAATAATAACTCACAAAATACTTGCATCTGACACTGGATGACACAAGAATCCCCCTGTCAGAAAAGTCTAGTGGCTGGGAATGACCTTTTTACAGTGTCAGCTATAATGTTAATGATGTTTTATTGTGTTTACATAGATGAATATGGCCACTGTGTAAATGCACAGTACAGTTGCGAGCGTATTGCCACGTTACATTGTTATGATAACATAATATCGTTGCCTTCAGTGATTTCCTAAAGATAACTACCAAAACAAAACACAACTGAAATAACTACAGCAGTCGCCATCGTCAATCTCATATGAAGCATAAGTTTGCGACGACATATGATGATGTGCGCTGGTGTTGTAGGGGTGTTCCATTTCTTAGGAGTCAATTTTGAAGTCCTTTCCCTTCACCCTCTATTGCAAGGGCCAAGAGGAATGGGGAGGAGTAGTATAGAATTGGGATTGGGCTTTAATCTTGAGATATTTTCACTACACAAAGTCTATCTAGCATAAAAAGGAAAATCACTTTAAACAGAATTAACACATAACAATAATAATAATAATATTAAAACCACTTTAGACAGTATTAACACATAGCAATGGAAATAGGAAAACAGTTGTTTCCAGTCATCAGGCCACTCAGTTCCATTAAAGAGGGCTCAATGAAATAGAGTTATAAAGAGAATACACTGAACATTCTTATATTAAGCAAAGGGTTAACTTTATTTATTTTTTTTTTAGATTTTGACTTTCGGCGGCGGAACCATGCCTCACGTTGTCTCAACCAATCACCTACTCCCTAAAACTTATATAAGGCAGACCAGCCCTCTAGCACTGTTCTTCTCGTTTTTTCGAACACACCCTCCCTCCCTCTATTTCCTCGCTTCACAATTAAAATCCTATAACTCTTCACTCCTAGGTTAAATTGGGGGTTCAATCACTCTACCAAAATATTACAGAGACCATACCCCCACTCTGACTCTCTGGGCATCATCGTAGGATGCCCGATCAACCTACCTACATGTTCACTGTTTATCCTCTTCCCTTTCTCCCCTTCATCCCACTGTTCTCCTACCATCCACTTGATCCCTACTTTCCTACAAAAAAAGTCTAGCTCAAAGTATTGCATGGTCCATGCTGGTGAAACCTGTTTTGAACAATTTTGATAAGACAGCTAATGATACAACAAAACAAACTTGAGATTTTTAAACAGATTGATTTCTTGCTGTGTGTATGCATCTGAGGGATCAGCTCTACAGATCTGGGATCAGCTGTGAATAACCCATGGCTGACCTGACCCAAGCACCATGTCTCCATCCATATCTGTACTCGGATACAATTCCACATTGACGTAGATGGTAAGACTTTTGATGGTCCATTTGAGTATTAGTAGACTATATGCTCATTATCTATTGTTACTGCTTATTTAACAAGCATTTAACTGACTATAAGAAACTTTGCAAGTACATGTCAACTTACACTAACCCTAATTCAACCCCAACACTACAGTCAACAAGCGGACCATCAAAAATAAATTGTGACCTCATACATAATCAGAATTGTCTATCTTTGCTTTAACCAATCAGAACCTTTTACCTCAATCACATCATTTCTGGTCTTTTGTAAAAAGTATAATTGCTGTGTTGTTGTATTGTAAGTCAGATCGACCTGTGAACTCAGCCTGAATGTGAAGCCCTTAAGCCATAAAACTGCAAACTATCTTTAGTAAATTCTTCATTTATTGCATCTCCGACTCTGAGACTTCTCTGACACACCAGACTTTTATTTTAACTGTTAATCTTCATCCCCAACAAACCACTGGATAAGCAACGGCAAACAAAAAATGGAAAATCCAAAGAAAATTCATAGATGTGCAGTACTTACCCCTCTATTGTAGCTTTGAAGTTCTGTAAAAGAAAACGAAAAGTGAGTGAATGAAAACAAGATCATCTTATTCCAACAGATAGACTATATTCTGACCTGCAGCAGTGTTAAATCCTCAGCTTTCAGAGTTTGCTCCATTGTGTTGATTAATTCAGTGAGAGATCCAATACTCCTTGTGTAATCTTCATCTCTGCTCTTCACAGCCGTGACACACTGCTCTTCCTCCTCCTTGAGTGCTGATAGCCTGCGCTCTTCCTCCGCATAAAGAAACTGATGAAGCTTGAGAAACTCTTCCTTCATTTGTCTTTCGACCCGCTGGGCCTGCGTCTGATAGAAGTAATGGACAATAAACTACTGACCACACTTTGATAGAAGTCACACATATCTTATGGATTAAATGTTATATTTACTTTAATGTGCTCCAAGATAAAGGCTGAAGACTGTCTTGCTTTATTAAATACTTCCAGCTTTTGTTGAAGAACCATAATGGCAGAAGAGATTTTATCCTGTAAATGAAAGAACCCAATAATGTTTTCCTAAATGAACAATGCAACTCTGTAGCTAAATGCAGTGTACACATGTAAAATATTTGAGTAAATGTCATTAATTACTGTACATTAGCTGAAGGGATAGTTGATGATCATTTACAGCAGGGGTGTCCAAACTCGGTCCTGGAGGACCGTTGTCCTGCAGATTTTAGCTCCAACTTGCCTTAACACACCTGCAAGGATGTTTCTAGAAAGCCTAGTAAAGCTGCGGTCACACTGGACTTTTCTCCCCATAAACTTCCATTCATTCACATGTGAATGTGTCAGACTGGAAACACAAACTTGTGCATCAAGTTTCACAGAACGCTGCACTGGAAAGTTCAAGCTTGGTGAACTCTTATCTACGAAATCACATCACTTGACTGTGTGAGACCAATTGAGGATCAAAACATGATGAAATTTTAAATATGGACAGTAGTTATTATGATGCGGCACCTGTCAAAAAGTTTGATGGATTGTAGCCCCGCCCCTAAGGCGGGACTTCCGGTCTAAGCCCCGCCCCTTTTATATAAACTTTATAGTGCCGGTAATTAGATTCTTATCGGTTTAATATAAAATAATAATTCCGGTAATTAGATTTTTATCAGACTAATTAAATTATATTTCCGGTAATTAGATTTTTATCAGCCTAATTAAATTAGATTTTTATCAGCCTAATTAAATTAATAGGCTATTTCCAGGTAATGAAAATATTGGTAATTAAATTCTAATCAAACTGAAATAAAATTAATATAATAATAATAACGGTAATTAAATTAGTGTTATTAGAACCATTATTTAATATTTTTAATTATTACAGTAATTTATATTTATTATATTACATCAAATTATATTATATTATATTAAGTTGTATAAAATTAATATTTTATTAAATAATATTATGTATTGTATTATATTATATCATATTAAGTTATATTAAATCATTATTTTATTAACTTATATTATAATTATATTATATTATGTTATATTATTATATTATATTTTATATCATATTAAGTTATATTAAATCATTATTTTATTAACTTATATTATAATTATATTATATTATATTATATTATATTATTATATTATATTTTATATCATATTAAGTTATATTAAATCATTATTTTATTAACTTATATTATAATTATATTATATTATATTATATTATTATATTATTATAATATTGATATTTATATTAAATTTAATTAAGTTATATTATATATCATGATTATTCTATTATACTATATCATTACATTATTATATTATATTATATCATTACATTATTATATTATATTATATCATTACATTATTATATTATATTATATTATATTATATTATATTATATTATATTATATTATATTATATTATATTATATTATAATTAATAAACTATTAACATAAACATTTCTTTATTTTCATACCGATGTTACCTCTGTGTGTCAGTCTGGGCCTGAGCGTGTGAGTGATGATAAGGAAAACTTTGGATAACATCCCGTCAACTGCTTGTGAAAGATAGATTTATATCAGATGTAGAATATGTATATCTGATTGTATGTGTTGGGTGTCTCCCACTAACTACTATATGTTGTTAGGTGATTAGAAAGTGTGCTGATATCTATATATCCACATACAGTCAACTGTATGCATATGTATGTGTCTGTGTGTGTCTCTGTGTGTGTCTCTGTGTGTGTGTGTGTGTGTGTGTGTGTGTGTGTGTGTGTGTGTGTGTGTGTGTGTGTGTGTGTGTGTGTGTGTGTGTGTGTACGTGTGCATGCGCTCGAGCGAACTTGGGTCTGGCCTTGTATGTTTGAATACATGACACAGTATTTACTAAATATGTTCATTAATAGGTTATGTTGTTTTTTACATTATTACTACATTAATACATATTTAAAGACACACAAACTTTTTAATGTATCTTTGTCTGACTATTAAATTTAAATATGTTTACAATATTTCTTGTCGGCTTAGCACATTTATTAATCCGCGGTCGCCACAGCGGAATGAGCCGTCAACTTATCCAGCAAGTTTTTACGCAGCTGAGCCCCTTCCAGCCGCAACCAATCTCTGGAAAAATGTTTACAATATTAATCCAGTAAATAACAAATCTTAATCTTTATTGACAATAAATTGTCACACCTTTTAAAACAACGTTATCTAAAATGTAATATTCTAAAATGTTGAAAAACACAGATGTAAATTCAAGTTGTCTTTATAATTAATGAAAACTTTTTTTATGAAAAACTATTTAAAATGAAAGTTTTTCCTTTGAGTAACATGTTTTCAATTTATTTACATGTATGACCTGTAATTTATGGTACACATTGTAATACAGTTAATCCAAAGCCTAATGTTTTGAGCACTGGTCATCAATGGTGTTGGTTTAAAAAATCAACATAAAATATTTACTAAAAAGGACTTATCAGTCTTATCAGACATTATTGTTATTTCTATTTCAAAAGATAAATAAAATGTAATTTTATTAAAATAAATTGTAGTAATTGCATTACTAGACAACTTAGTTACTGAATTTTAAATTTAAACTGTTTTTATTTCATTGCAAATACTTGATCATATAAAGAGAAATATGTATATTATTCAGAATAATGGGAAAACGCTGATAATTATTTTAAGAAGAAAAATTGGCTCTCAGTTTATCTAAAAACAGTACAGCTCCAGTCCTTAGTTAAATCTACTTAATGTTTTATAGTAAAATTTTCTAGTTTAACTACTGATTCCACCATTTATATGTTCATACAACAGTGTCAAATCTAGTAAGTCTACAAATTTGTCAAAATTAGTCCAGTTTACAAGTAGCTCTTGAAAGTAGACTGATTACTTTTTTACAGGGTAAATAATGCTTTTCTTCTACCAATAGATTTAATCAAGATTATTGTCACTACACACAATTTGTTGGGAGTGTATATACTTCTTTAAACAATGTTTTTTTATTGGCAAACACATTTTCAAATTTTCAAACTAAAATCTAGCATAATGTTTTTCACTCTGAATATAAAAGCTTTATCTGTGCATTTCACTTGGAAAAGTGATGTTTAAAATACTATTCATTAAACTTACTGCATGACTGGAGTTTTATTTTTTACAAACCAATAGCATTGACCTAATTCATGCTTTTGATTTTCCACTCTGTAGCAGTTTTTCAACACAAAATGTAAACGTTTTATGCATGTGCTAAAAATCTGTAATTTTGCACCACTGTCAGAGTTTGTATGTAACAAAGCATACATGTTTTTAAAACTGTCAGTTTTCAAAAGTTACTTAACGTTGTCTCCTTTCTTCTGGAGTTTTTAGGAACAACAATGTTTCATTTGTGGGGGAAAGAAAAAAAAGTGATGTTTTGAAATACATTGGTTACACCAATATGGTGTAAAGGTTAGAAGTTGGGGTTTCATCCAGACGGCTGGGGCTCAACGCCTGATTTTTTAATGCTTTTTAACCTCTAAAGTGTCCCAAGTAACATTAATAACAACACTTAGCCACAATTATTTGTATCGCAGTTGAAGGCTACACTTAATACTGCCAGCAAAACACAATAATAACAAAGAGTAAACACTTTCTTATTTTAAGAATACTTTGCAGTAAACTTTAATGCATTAGTAAGTTTATTTTATCCACCTTCTGATGCAGAATGTTTTTGAAACATTTGATTATGTTTTTATGACCACGGGCATCTCACCCAAATATTTGACCTAATTCAAGTAACCAGTGCTGCAGTTTTTAATCACAAAATGTCTTTACAAACTTTTTTGCGTATGTGTTAAAAGTCTAATTTTACACAACTCTTATAGCGTCCGTTACAATGCATACAGTAAATGTCACAATAACCATTTCTACTGCCAATTATCTTTTGGTGTCTAATTCTTCACAATATTTTTTTCACGAGAACTATGAATCTACAAAGGCAAGGCAAGGCAAGACAAGGCAAGTTTATTTCTATAGCACATTTCATACACAGTGGTAATTCAAAGTGCTTTACATAAACAGGAATAAAAGATACAACTATAAGAAAAATAAAAACAAATAATGAAAAAATAAAAAAAAATTATAAAAACAGATCAAATGTGTTAAAACAAGTTATAAAAGAATGAAAAGAAGAGAAAAACATATTAGTGTGATCTGTCAATAGTGCGATCTGTCTACAAAACTAAAAGAATAGTTGCCACTAAATCTGTATTAATATCTTGTTCAACAGTGTCTAATGTACTGTGTATTAAAACTGTATTCTTTTGAACTGTCATGAAAGTTTGCGTTGTGAATGTTTTGGTTTTAAACCAGAGACAACCAACAATATTATGTATACCTTTTGTTCAAATACTTTTTCAAATGAAAGATAAATTATGAAATTGTATGTCAGTGCATCTTTAAAACTAAATTGGGCAAAAAAAAATTAGGTTGTCTTTCTAAACTGACTACAAAACCGTTATACATGAGAACTGTGTGTTATTGGGTTGACTTAAACGTTAACCAATTTTAATAAATGTTCTACAGTTTATACATTTGCTTTAAACAAGTGACCAGTCCTTGACACACTATGCAACATTCTAATTTTCTAAATGTTTAAATATACATTTGGCATAAATACAGGGCTTTAATCAGTTTTGACAATGTTTCTATGATTTGTTTCACACCATCATGTTTTGCACCTAGCTCAATTTTTTACTTTTTTACAGGAAAGGCATAGACACTTGAGTTGATAAACTTTTATTTCAAGTAAATATACACTGAAATAGAGTAGTACATAACAAACAAACATGGATTGCATTACCATAATAAAGACAAATTAACTAAGAAAAAAAAATACATTTATACAGTCATACATTGAAGAAAAAACAGGGTACACCAGAACAATAAAGACATTACTGAATATTACCAAACAACAAAGAAATGCTGCTAAAAGCATTCTGTCATGTTCTAGTATGTGGCTAGTCATAACATCCACAATCTCAGCAATATTTG